GCTCAATAATGCATATTAGTCGAAGTACAGCGCCCATTCAAAGTCGAACGTTAAAATGACACTTTAAGCATAGGTGATAACGCTCGACTTTGAATGGGCGCTGTACTTCGACTAATATGCATTATTGAGCCTCCAAATTAATTGTTTTTAGGGTATTTCATGATTTGGCAGCGAACAGAAGCCATATGCATTGATTACTAGATTGATTAGGATCATTTATACCGGTCATTCAAAATATGACGAGTTGAAAACATGCCTTGATACCGACCCATTTTTCGACCTTCAAATAATTTCAGATCACTTTGAAAACTCCTCTATCGGATTGCTCGTTGAAAATTAAGTGGAAATGTCTTATTTTTACGTTATTTTGTATTTCGAGTCAATGAAATAGACCTACAGATCCAATTGGATCGCGATCCTTCGCAAAATGAAATTTTTGTCATAAAGGGACTACAATAAAAATTCACACACGGAATTTGAAAAAAAAAATCAAAACCCTTTTTTTTATGTATTTTTGCACGCTGATTCCAAAAATAACCTTAGTTTTACGATTTGAAGTCATTTGATAAGTCAAAATTTCAATTTTGTTCCAAAATGTGGTCATTTTTGGCAAAAAATTCATTTTTGACACATAAAATGACTTCAAATGACCTCAAATCACAAAACCATCGCCAGATTCGGATTCCCCGTACCAAAAAACCCCCAGGGGATATTGTTTTGTGAATTAAAAAAGTGTTCAAAATACACTACGTTTGGTAAAATACACTGTGCACAGGAAAAATAGAAAATCGGCTCGGCACTATTGAACGTGAAAATAATAAAAATCCTTAAATGCAGAACATATTATTTTCCCTCGAAATATATGAATCCGGGCCGAAATCGATGATACTAAACACTTTTGGTTTTTGGACCACCCTAACGTACACATGAAACGTCATTGCACTGCTGTTAGAATTTACACAAGTGTGTATTACTGTGGATTAGTGAGGATTACTGCTTACAACGTAGAATTACTTTAGACTAAAATTATTATTCTAGTACTGGTCTGCCCCTAGTTTTCAGATTTTAATAAAATCTCTAAACAAAGAATACATGCTTTGTATTCACCCCAACAAAATGTAAGTGGAATACTTATAAGTTATAAGTTCTCATCATAGGGCTCCATGACCATTGGTTGACTTTGATCATGGGTTTGTGGTTTGTAAAAACGTGCGCCTACTATGTATTCGCACTATTTGAATGTAAACAGTTTTTCTCTACCTGTGGCTCTTTACCAACCATATCGGATTTATTCCCACATAAAAAGATTTTGGCATTTTCAGCATATGTGACTATGTCTAATAGATGTTGTGATAAAGCATGAAATGATGATGCATTGTCCAATGCGAAAATTAGTATAGCACCCTGTATATAAAAAAAGAAATGGTAACTTTCATTTGTTCGAAACACTCTGAAATATATATATATATCATTTGAAAAATTCAATCATTTAAAAATATTGTGATACCTCAGCAAATTTGTAGTAACTTGACGTAACACTGGCCACACGCTCCATTCCTCCAGTATCCCAAAGTGCCAACTGAAATAGAATTCAATAAAAAATTAGTTGTCTTATCTTTTCTTTCTTAAAAATGTAGTACACGTTATCTATTACGTTCAACGAAAAAAAAAAGTCAAATTCATTACCTTAATTTCACGCTGGTTGGCTGTGAAACTTTTCGAAAAATGGTCCAGTCCAAGTGTCGAACTTCGGTCTGTACTCGTCACAAATGTATCATTTGTATATCGACGGAATATTGAACTTTTACCAGCTCCATATTCACCGCAAAGAATAATTTTTTGTTCAGGTAATCGTGTTGCTGCCATATCAACGTCGTTTTGATTACAATTTGCGTAGCAACATTGAATTGTTTTTATTTTCGTTCGTTTATTCGTTTTTTTCTCACTTTTCACGTTTTTTGTAAATTCACACCTTATTCAAATTATGAGCAGATTAAACAAAAAAATCAACGTTTTAGTCGACCAAACTAATCTGGAAGCTGTACAAATTCCGTTGTACACTTATTATTATTTTCATATGAGGCTTGACAAAGTGACAGCCAGACGTACTGCTCACTTTGTTCGTGTGTGCATATTGGCTACGGTTGTGTGAGTGTGCGAGGAAATACAGCACGCTGTATGCTATCGTTAACCTTCGCTCTCTATATGTCACCATATACAGATAAGTTATTGTGATTGAGATTTACATATGTGTGAGTCTGGGCGAACGCTGAAACTGTCAAAACAGCTGCATAACAACGACGGCATAAAAAACATTTTTTCAGGCGAATTGAGAAAATGCAGCTAAACGTTTCAACGACAGCATTAAAATGTATATATTGGAAACTATATAATGGAATTATTTTTCTTGGTAGAAAAAATTTAACTTCAACAAAAATGTAAAACTGTGAAAATCGGTATTCATCTACTTGTATACTTTCATTTAATTATCAGATGCATAGGTATATCTTTCGATCCAAGACATTCAAACAGAATTCAAAAAGTAAAACCAACAATAGGAAATATGTAAATAATAATAAATAATTAAATAATTAATAATTTTTCCTTAATAAAGGGAAATATGTAAATAATAAACCTCATAATAATAATCTAATTTGACAATATTGTACAATTCACTAATTTTGTAAAACGGTCCCACGGCCAAAGACTTGTAGATGAGCTAAGGTCTGTAAAAAATGATTTCGAAACGCATTAAAATATCACCTCTGGTGATCACTATGTAAAAAATGTATGCATACTTCCATGGAAAATCTTAACAAATGAAATGATAATATTTGAGTTTAGATTGATACTTTTTACATGTTTCCAACCAAAGTTGCGTGCTATTCAGTTAATAATTGTCCTTATATTTAACATAATGGACCTCGTTACTATGGCACCAATGTATTTATTTATTCCTTCAAAAGTTAAATAGAGTTAGTTACCAAAATAAAATATTATTCTACAACAAGATGACTTCATCAAATGTCGAATTAGAGAGAATACTTTCATTTGAGTGAGTACTTTAACTAATTAAAATTAGAGAATGAACCAAATATGGACATTTGTCTACACAGGAATTTCATCGGTTCCGATTGCCGTGGTGTAGAGGATTTGTTGTTGATGGACGCAGAAACATTGGCATTTAAATCCGGTCAATATCTCTATTTCTTCAAAATAAATACAAAAATATTAACTTCAATGAAATGTACCGATGGATTAATTGGAGCTATAACAGTTAGGTTAAATTATTGCACTAAAAAACGATTTTCAACAAAAACACATGTTTCTTTTTTGTACGTAGATGAATATAAACAATAGTCATTTGGCAATAGCTGAAAATGGTCGACAATCAAAGATTTCCATTCGTTCATATCCAAGCATGGAGACCGTCAATACATGTACAGCAAATACTACAGAATGGACTCACTTGAGTTATTCGAGAACGGGTGAGCTATTAGCATCACAATGTGAAGTTGGAGTCACAATTTGGAATTGGATGCAAGCAACTATACTGCTAAAATTCGAAAACTCCGAAATAAGAAACAATTTTGATTTAAAATTTTCAATGGGAAATGATCGATTTCTGTATACTGGTGGAGCGAAATATGTGCATTTTTGGGATATTGTACAAACATTTACTGGTTTAAAATTGTTGCATAAAATCGGTCATTTTCGTAAATTGAAATCTTGTGATATTCTGACGGTATGTCCAAGCGACAATCATTTGTTGACGAACTGCGAATGGGGAAACATTCTTGTGTGGGAAGATGGAAAAATAAAATTTGAAATATGTCGAAAAAATCGCCAACCATTACACAATTCACCAATCACACAAATTATATTATGCAAAGGCTATTTGTATACCATTGGATTTGATAATTACGTTCGAATATGGTTTTGGGATACAGTTGCTATTGAAGATATGCGAGAATATGATAAAATCATTGAATTCGAAGCCATCTATGAATATGAAATCAAGTCTCAATCGAATAACGATTTACTTTCATTTACAATATATTCGGGAAATAAGCAATTTAACAACTACATTCATGATGGCAATGGAGTCATTTGGAAAAGTGTCATAGATTTAGATTTTACATCGCATAACTTGGAAGTAATTTTTCGAGCAAGCTCGAAAGATGTGGTATGCGTGCAAATGTCACCAGTTTCAACGCAACTCATCACATTAGACATTAGAGGTGTCTTATGTTTGTATAACTATAAGAGCGGAAGAATGGTCTTTCATCATCGCTTTTTCCCCATCACCGCATCTACTTTGGCTTGGTGTTCGAAAAAAGTAGGTCCGCGTTCGATTTGCTTTTTTTTAAACGTATCTAAAACATAGTCATTTTCAACTTTAGATTGATGATTCAGGAAAGACGATACTATTTGGATTTGAAGATGGTTCCATTCGTGTCACATGCTCTGATATAAATGAAAATAACTGGGAAGGTTCTAGCATTAGAGCTTTTCAACATATAAAACCACATACTAATGAAGTTAAGCAAATTGTAATGAGCAACAATATTGTGGCTTCGGTATCCGATGATAAAACAATCTTCATTTACACAATTTTACAAAATGTCAATGAAATTTTGCTCAATCCAATTGGCTTTATTCCGATGAATTCAACGGTGCAACAAATATCGTTTCAAAAGGTATTGTGAATTGTTTTTTTTTTCTTCAAATTGAATTGATAACTTGTTATCTCTTATCATTGAGATCTTATAGCAATTCCTTATCGTTGCAAATGACAACAATGAGCTTCTAAAAATATTCATTTCGAGTGATATGCGACACGATCAAAACTCTTATTTATTAAAAGAATACACCAATTCTGTTAATAAGATGGATTTTACAACCGACAGCAAATTACATCAAGTCATTTTGATAACAACAATAAGTGATAAAGTTGTTTGGATACTGTTATCGAACGGGAATATCTATGATGATTCTTTTACAATCATTAAAGAGTCTGGATCAATATGTTATTATGTAACTTTGTGAGTTAGAATATTTTGCAGCCATCTAATTGAACTTATTCAGTAAAAAAAAATCAAATTATCACTTTTTAGTGAAAACAAATATGTGATAATATGCTATGCTAATGCTAACATATCAGTTGAACGTATTCTATCTCACCAACCAACTCAATTTGAGCAGATTTATATGCTTTCGATACCGCAAGACTTTCAAATCCAATCGTCTCGTATGAATTTCAGCTTCGATTATTCTAACTTAATCATTCACAACTCAAGTGGATCTGTTCTGTGCTACAAATGGAAATTAGCAATAGAATCGTCTGAAAATATTTATTCTTACCAACGATGCATGATTGAACATCAAATTGTTGATGAAGATAGTGTAATTAACTGTTTGAGTTTAGAAGAACAGAAACGCGTTGAATTGGAAAATCAACGCAAAACTCAATACCAAGAACGTAAAACTGAAATTTTGGAAATTATTGCTAAACTGAAAAATGATTTTGCAATTATCAAATATCGAAATAATGAACTATCCGATACATTTCAAATGAGCCCATCTGCATTTGAAATTGATAAAAGAATAACAGAAGATTTGAAATGGAGAACACAACTAAAATTTAAGGTCATTCAAAAAGAACTGCAGATGAAAATTGATAAAATTCGTGAACATGCTGAACGTATGGAGCACATTTATTTGGACAATTTAGAACACTGGCCGATTAAAATTTCGGGATTTCGGTATGAGAAATCCATTTGTTGGATCTCACAGCAAGTAACTCATTAAATTCACTAAACTTTTGATTTTTGTTCCTGTCCAAAATAGAAGTCGTAAAATGTTAGAGACATTTTTAATATATGAAATCAATGATGAATTCCAAGCGCTTAAAATTCAATTTGATGACAGAGGATCTCTGACTACCGATTCAAGGTTTTATATTCAATGTTCATCTCCTTTTTGTTCTCTAAATGTAATTTTGTTTGGGTCTTTGTTGTAGTGAATCAAATGAGAATCGTGTAGTTATGAACCGTCCAGAGGGGTCAAATGATTCTGTCAGATTGGATAGGTCTCGTAGCAGTTTGCATCAAGCGAATGAATACATTTGTTCCATAGCAGAACAAATAGATAATAATCAAGTTGACATCCAAACAAAACGGTTGTACAAAAGATATATGGCCCGCAAGCAGCAGGTACAAGAAAGTTCAGTGATATAAGTGCTCGGACTGGCATGAAGAGAGTTATTTCAGGAAACTGTGAAATCTAATTTAATTTAATATTGAAATGTAAAATCAACCTATATTTTAGTCTTTCTTTTTTATCATCTCTGATAATTTCGTCCATCCACACCGGGCACTAAGCCGTACAAGATTCTTTCAACTCCTAATAAGTGTAAAAATGTCACTTTTATTTTTTTATTTTTCAGGATATTGAACACAGAAAACAAGTAAGCATTTATTTTGATTTTCGTTCCATCGATATTTAATTGCTTTTTCTTACAAATAGCGAAAGCAGATAGAAGTACTGGAACCACGAATTAGTTGCTCAAAAAGCAGTGATGATAATTTGGAATGTGTAAATATAGAAGCGACTGCAGATTTCGAAGCACAAGCAAATCAAACCATTGTCAATAAGTATCGTTTGCTCAAGTCACTGAAGCAGCAAATGACCCAAAACAAGCAAGATTTTAACGGGATTGTTTTGAATTTACAAGAGGAAAAACTGAAAAAATGCGATATTCTGTCTGAGAAAATTGAAAATCTTCGTCAAATCTATAAAAAACTATATTGCAATATGATTGATGTCAATGAGAGTTCCGAAATTATTGTACAATTTGATGGAAAATCGTTCAAGGTTAATGCATAATAATCAAGTTGATTAAATCGACTATTTACTAAAACATTTTAATTTTTGCAGGATAAATATATGAATATAAAATACTTGAAAACCAAACAAAAACCTTTCGATGAATCAAACGAAAAACATCGAATGGACATTTGGACGATAGATCTTCATAAAACGATGAATTCATTATTTTTCCAAATTGAGAATATTTACCAGGATTTTGACGTAAAAATCAAAAACATCGTTGAACAAAGTATTGAAATCTCTCTGAAAGTTCAATTCAAGGAATTGTACTATTTTGTAATTTATCAAGAACTATTGGTATTAAACAAATTCGAAAAACCAAATAAAGCTCTACTTAAATCGATTGAACTCACCATCGATAAATTGCAAACAAATGAAGAAGAATTAACAACGGCTAAGTCAAAATTTAAAAAATTAATGAAAGATGATGCACTCATTGATACTAATGGAAAAATTATCGAAATGGAAGTTCTTTTCAAAGAAAATATCATAAATGGTATTTAAAAAATATAGATAAAGAATTTAAGATACATCTTATATGATTTTCACACGTTTGTATAGATAGTGCCATAGCAGACCAACAACTTGAAATTTTAAAAAAGATTACGGCTCTACCAATGTCATCAACCCAATCACAGATCATTAAACCATTGGTTGGAACCATCGAGTGTCTTTTAAAAGATTCGATCAGTTTCAACAAAGATCTTAAGGGTGATAAATATGCTCTTAAGAAAATGATGGTATTATTTATCAACCGGCTAAGCCTATGAAGAGACAAAATGCGAATTCCCCTCATCTGTGCCATCTTGGATTCCATAGTTGAACTCAATTTAGTTACAATGAATTGAATCGAAAAAGAGAAAAAAAACAACAACAGTAACATGGCTACATAGATCTGTTGACCAGTGAGATACGAATAACAATGGAATGAAAGAATGAAGAAAGCGTATATGTGTATGTATGCATCAGCACGCATAGATGTACAGCTCTGTGTGGCCGTGCTATTGTTGCTGTTTTTTCTCTTTTTCATTTCAATGCTACAGAATTAAATTCAGTTTTTCGATCTAATTCGAACTAATGGAGGTGAGGTGGCGCTGATCAGCTGCGTTCGCATAAAAAAGTTCCCAATCTCATATACGCCAACCCCGCTTGTTATTTATAAATAATTATATGCAAGAAGATCGCGTGTTTTTTGCTTTGACCTTCATTCGATTCAAATGATTTTAGGATGAAAAAGAAACACAATTGAATAATATTGATGTGGTAATTATGTTGCCAGAGGATAATTTACGAATAAAATCAAATGACACCACCACCATCAACTTTGATGACTGGGTTTTGGTTAACAAGAGTAATATGTCAAAAATACACGAACAAATAAACGAATATGAAACTGAAATTCTTAACGAACACAAGAGACAAAAGTAAATATTTTAATAAAAATTTGCAAAGAAAAAATTTCACCGACACATTTCTACTTTCCACAGATCACTTCAAACGCATCTAAATCAAATAAAGAGTAATTGCAGCAAAATTAGTAGTGAAATAAATTTTCTGCGATGTGCGGCCAATGATAAAATGTTGAAGAAGTTTGGCATGAAAATTGACTTTGACGAAATGGAAGAAGCTGTACTAACCCGACTGATGACAAATCGAATAAAAACTGATGAAGATATAAACGAAAAAGAAAAGAATGTACGAAAATTAAAGGTATTCTCTTCATACGAATTTCATACCGCGTTCCGCTATCATTATTGTTTTGTGTTATTGTAGAAAATCCTGGAGAACAAAAACAAGGAACTTATATATTTGAAGCAACTACAAATTGAAAAGTACAATGTTTTGATTACGCTTCAAGGAGAGCTGAACGTTATAAATTTTGAAAAACGCGTTTTTGATTTTCGCGAAAGATTACAGAGGAAATATTCATTGGCTAAAATTTTGAAAAACGAAGAAAAGGATTTTGAAAAATTGCAAACACTTTCGAAACATCAAAAGCAGCAAATCCAAAATATTACAAAAGAAATTCGAACACTTCGGTCAAAAATCAAGCCACAAGACCAAGGACAACATAGCTCTCAAATACTAACATTTCCAAATGCCTATATACTTGATGCATGCGAGGACTCACCACGAACAAATCAAAGCACAAAATCATACGCAATTGATACTTTTGAAGTATCTAGCGCATCATCTTCATCATCAAAGCCACTAGACGCTCTATAAAATTGTAACCAAGTGATACAAAAATTTGAGTGGTACATTTTTGAGAAACAAGTAAAATTTATTTTTGCACTTTTCACAGGGACCCTGTACAAACACAAAAGTAAAAAAAAAACACATTTTTTCTCACTTCTCACAAAGTGTTTTCATAGTTTCCTTCAAATTTTGCATCCCAATACAGATTTGAATCAAGATTTCAAACGAATAGTTTTTATCTTTGTTGTTTATTCAGATTGAGAAAATCGAATGCTGCAATAGCTTGACATAGTATAAAAGGATGTTCGTTCCACGGCAAAACTATCAGTCTTTGTAAATCTTGACTTCGAAGTGAAATTTAAAACAAAAGGAATATGAAGCTCTTCACAACTTTTGCTGCTGTAATTGTAATTTGTGCCGTTATTGCTGGCGCTGCTCCTTCAGCGCCACCGTATGAACCACCTTCTGGATCACCATCACCACCAAATGGTACTCCATGGTACTCCACCAACGGGAACTTCGTCAACTCTATCAAGTACAAAACTCTGAAACCTCTACAAGCGGAATCATTCCAAGTGCTACACCTCCGACTCCTCCTTTTGGTCTTCCATAATCAAGAGGGCATAGATAAGTACAGAAGAATCCTTGTCAAGTTTGGATTAAACAAATTAAAAATATCAATTATACATACATATCAATACTTTCTTACACTACCTAACGTATGCTAAGAACTATCTTCAAATAAATAAATTAATATTGTACATAATAAAAACTGGAGTGAATGATTGTTGTTTGCATCAGTATGTTGTAATATCTGTTATTAAAAGCTTGGTTTTGTGATCTTATTGATCTTATTCAAAATGTTACACATTTTGTATATTTTGTCATTTTTACATTTGCTTTTAGCAGCGTATAGTGAACACAATATTTCATCTGGGGAAGATAGTCAAATCAAAAATTTTACCGAATTTCTGGAGAATAGTCTCAATAGAACCGTTTTGGAATACACATTGAAATCGTTAACAAAGCCCGGTGATAATTTTGGTGCTGTATTACGATCAGTTGTTTTGAAAGTAGGTTGCAAAGATAATGGTTCTATCGAAGTGAGTTTCTTTGATTCAATTATTACCATAATCGATAACACAAGTGGAAAAAATCAATATATATTTTAAAACACAGAATAACATCCGCAACTTGGTCATAAAAACACCAGTGACAAATCCATTTCTAGCTGAATTTTTCAAACCAACAGTTACATTTGTAAAAGAAGTTCACTTTTACTCGGAAATAATTCCAGCTTTGGAACAGTTTGAAGAGATTGCAAATGTACCAAGGGAAGAGAGATTAGACGCGTTCCAAAGGCATTCCATACCTTGGATCGAGATTTTCATTAAACCCTAGGGCTAGTAAACCATAATATGATTGATCTGAATTAAGAAAAAATATACATATTTCTAATTTCAAAGACGCAGAATATGCTGATTCAGATGCAATATTATTGCTTGAAAATGTGAAATTTAAAAGTTTCATCAATGGAGATAAGCGCATCGGCTTCAATACAAATGAAACATTGGCGACCCTTAAAGTATTCCGCATTCCAAATTCAACGTTGAATTTTGTTAAACTTACAGTCATTCACGAATCATAAAAATCTTTTTATTATTAACAGGTTTTGGCAAAATTTCATGCATTGTGTATTGCAATGAGACGATTGGAACCAACATTATACAATAGAAAAATAGATCCGTTTATGAAATCACTTGACAGAATGAAAGAAATCGGCAGTCCAGTAAATGAAGTATGTCCTGTTTGATAAGCAATATTCTAATTGTTGTAAGAAAAATGTTTATTTTTCTTCTTCAGTTTATTTACAGCGAGATGAAACTGGTTCTTAATCTCTCTGCGGAAGCGAGTACTGCAATTGAGAGCATCTTTGCAAAGGATGAGAAATATAACAAAACCATTGCCACTGATACACCGTACACGACAGTTGTTCACAACTATTTATGGATCAACAATATTATGATAAGAAAAGGTACTTTAAAATAGATTGTTTAAATGCTCGATAATGAATGTGAAATTTTGCCTGATGTTATTTAATGGCGATGCTACATTCATTGTCGTAAACTCATTACGCATCTTTGCGAATGTAAAATTTCGTTTTATGTTTTTAGATACTAATGCAATAAAAGTGAAAATTTACGATTTTCAATTGTATTATTATGAATCGTTTGCGTTTGATTTGACGTTCTTTTTATTCACAAGTGTTCGCCGAAATGATTTGAAAACTAATTTCACGTTATTTGTTGATTATTATATTTCGGAGTTTCGAAAAATGATGAACTTTGTAAAATTTTCAACGGACGATTATACACAGGAAAAGTAAGTGGAACTTATGAAAATTTTAATTTCAAAATACAATCACTACAGTATGTTTCTTGAGGATGTGGCAGGAATTTCGAGCAAAGGCGAAATTTTCGTTATTCCCTTCCATTCTTGTGGCAAAAAAATCAAATGCTAATCATCACTCAATGCCATCGTTTGACAAGTTGAACGAAGATTCATTTCCGTTAAGTAAGCCAGCTGCCATTGATCTATGGAAGTTCATCATTGATATGTTCATTGAAAATAATCTAAATTAAACAATTTTTAGAGATTTGAACATGAACATTGTGACAATAATTTGAAGATATTAAACGATTTGTAATCAAAATTATCAATAACTCAATAAACCAATTTATTTGGATTTCTATTTTTATTTCATCAATTACAAAATGATTTACAAACACATATTTTGAAACAAGAATGATACCTGCTCGGGGAAATATGGAAAACCGCAATAATTGGCCAACCAAATCGTTCATATGTGTAGGAACTGACCACGTAATAATCCCATGAGTAGAAAAAGTGTTTAACTTACTCATAGTACGATATATTGCATTTTCAAATTTAACATTTGAAAAAATGGTCCTTCACTGTACGTCAATGTTTGAGAACATTTGAATGCATAGAAATGCAAATGTTTTCATGTCGACGAAGATATTTGAATTAAATAAAAATAAGTCAATAAGTTTTTATATCAAACTAAATTCATTTATTTTAAACAGTGCGCATATAAATCGCCTTAAGTTTTATGTGTTTTTCATTTGGATTTGTAAACCAATTATAACAGATGTATGGAAAAATGCAACATAGGATCTTTTACAAATCACCAAAGTATATATGTGTTTCGAGAAAGAAAAAAAAAACAGTAAAATAATGTGGAAAAAACAACATCGACATTTGATTTAATTTTGTTTGTAGAATTTCTTTGATGAGTCTTTGGCCATATCAACCAATGTTTGACAGGGTTGGAATGCTGCACCATATAAATCAGCATATGAACGCATTTTGTCGACTAACTTGCTGGCCGAATACTGGTCAACCTATGGTGAATTAAAATAGAAAATTGGAATTAATGGAAAAATTATCGAAAGAATGGATAGCATTTCTTATACTCTCGTTCTTCAGTAATGGAATAGTAATTTTTAAGTGATTATAGCTTGATACGAACCCATCGGAATGGACCTCCGGTGAATGGTGGAAATCCCAAACCAAACACAGCACCAACATCACCCTCCAATGGATTGTGCAAAATTTTCTCCTCGAGACACAAAACTGCTTCGTTAACAAATCTAGAATGAAATTTAATAAAATGTTAATATCACACGGATGAATTCTATCAATCAGATAAATGTATATGTATGTAGATGAAATCCAAAAACTTTTCATCAGTTTGTTCCAGCATGGGCTAAAAAAAACAAACAAACTGATTTTGAAGACATTTTTGCGATCAAAAAATTACTTGTTGCAAAATTTTGTTGTTGAATATGCTATCTTGTAACAACAGCAAAAAAGCAACAAAGTCATTTATTATATCTGTCTGTTTGTGAAAATAGTTGCTTGATTATCATAAAGTTCGCAAACATATTTATCATTTTTGACCATCTAATTGCAAAAAAAAACAATGAAAATTTTTCAATCGCTCGCGCGCGCACACATGTGTGCGTTCATTTCTTTCTATCATCTCTTTTTTATTTTTTACAAAGAAATATTTATATTTGTAATTTTATGTATGTTAAATGTGGAACTAATAAGTTCTTATCATGGGGTTGCCATTGATCATTAGTAGATTTTGATCATGGCTTTGTGGCTTGTTTTTCTGCAAGCGTGCGCCCCAGCTATATTTGAATGTAAAAATAATTTTTCTTAAATACCTTGAAACCAATCGCAACTGAATGTCTTCAGTCGAGTCAGCGCCTTTTGGAGCAAGTGCATATTTTTGTTTAAGAATTTCTAAAGCTTCTTGGTTAAGTTCACGATTTTTTGAGCTTCCTTGATAAATAAAAAGGCCCTTGCCCGATTTGCGGCCCAAGAAACCGGCTTTTACCAAATCTTCCATAACGCCCAAGTCACCACCGGCAAAACGTTCGCCGAATGCTTTAGCCAAATCAACGGCAATATGTGAACCTACATCAATGCCCACCTCATCGGCCAATGTTGCCAAACCAACTGGGAAACCGAATTTTTTGCTCAAACGATCCAATTCTTTTGGATCAACAACGCCTTCCTGCATAACACGAACTGCTTCAGACAACATAGTGGATAGAATTCGAGTTGTATAAAAACCGGGTCCATCACCTACTGTTATAACGACTTTTCCTTGTTTTAAACCAACTTGAACAGCTGATTGAATGGTTTCTTTTGAAGTTTTTGGATGTGTGATAATTTCAAGCAATTGCATTTTATCGACCGGACTGAAGTAATGCATGCCAATGACTTGGTCTGATCGTGAACTTCCTGCGGCAATTTTTGTAATTGGAATAGCACTTGTATTTGTGGCAATGATACAGTGTTTTGGTACAACTGCTTCGATTTCACGAATCACTTTGTGTTTGATGTCAAGGTTTTCAAAAACTGCTTCAATTACCATATCAGCAGTTTTAAATGATTCGTAATTTAATGTGGTTTCAAGATTCGACAAATATTGATCGCGTTCAATGGTCGTGATGCGACGTCGTTTGACGCCAGTCTCAAGTCCTTTTTGAATTTGACCAATACCACGACCCAAACCCGCATCATTTGTGTCTTTCAATACAACTTTGTATCCTTTGTTGATGCTAACTTGAACAATACCTAAGGGGAGAATCACAAAAGAAAATAATAGAATTAATTTAAAATAATCGACAAAAGGAAGAATTAATTAATAATAGAAAGGCAATTTTTAAGTGAATTGCCCTTGAACAATACCAGCTCCCATGAGACCGGCCCCAAGAACACCGATAGTCTTAACTGGATTTTGGGGGTTACCAAAGCGATTCTTTTTGCATTCTGTTTGACCACGGAAGAGCCCAATTAAACCTTTCGATTGTGGTGTCGCTGAAAGTTCACCGAATCCATTACGTTCGGCTTCATAGCCAGCTATGGGACCTTTTTCAACACCGGTGCGAACAACATCGAGAATCTATGATAAAAATACATTTATTGTGAATCAACTTTTAACATAAATAATAAATGTTCCAAATTAAACTAAAACGCACTTTCAATGGAGCCGGATATAAGCCGCCGGACAATTTCATCACTTGATCTCTGGCTTTTTTGAAAATAAAATTACGAATAAATTCGACACCAATTGCTGCTTCAGTCGCCTTGGCGACAATCCCTTTTTTCGATCGATCAACCTGATGAACAAAGATAGAGCGGAGAGAGAGAGATAGTAATTGCATTTGAGCAACAATATTCTCACCTTTAACCTAATAATAACACATCAAACTAAATTATACCTTTAGTTTACCACTGGCCAAATCTTTGGCTGCCTTAACGGCTGTTTCTTCCAAATATTCAATGGTATTTTCTTCGCCTGATTTCAAACCGGGCCCAAGTGGTTGAATAACTAAGTCGACAATTCCCAATTTCTTAGCTTTATCAGCCTTCAGTGACTTTCCAGTTAATGCCAAATCGAGGGCGGTTGGGACTGATGACAATTTTGGCAAGCGTTGAGTACCTAGCACAAATAAAAATAAAAAAATCTGAAGTTCAGAATCTAATCGCATAGGTTTGATGTCGACTAATTTAATCCATACCTCCAGCTCCTGGCAATAAACCGAGCATAACTTCAGGCAATCCAAGACTAGTTTTCTTGTCTTTGGTTGCAATACGGTAGTGACATGCCAACGCCAATTCTAATCCGCCACCTAAACAAGCACCATTAATAGCTGCCACCACTGGTTTTTGACACTTTTCCAGGCGATCAAACAAGATTTGTCCATCATGTGAGATTTTTGTTGCATCAGCGGCTGTCTTACATTTCTCCAACATCGAAATATCAGCGCCGGCTACAAAACATCCGGGCTTAGCTGAACATATAACTGCCGATGTAATAGCTGGATTGGTTTCAATTTCTTGTAGTACTTTTACAAATTCTGCCTGCACCTCAGCGCCCAATGAATTAACCTTTGCATTTGGTGCATCTAAAGTGGCAACCAATACACCATCTACATTTTTTGTTTTGATATATTGTCCCGACGATGATTCAGATGTAAAATAACGCTTGTTTACATCGACTACAGCTTCAAAAGTGAAGAGCAAAAAAAAAAAAACAATTTTCTTTTTATCCGTACACAAATCAAAGACAATACATTGTTGCCTGAATGCAATGATATCAACACACGCGCGCCAAAAATAAAAATTTATTTTGTTTGTCTCTTTTTTTCTCAATGTTTCGGTCAAAAATACTTTATTTTGATTGTTGAAAAGAAAAATGACTCTTACGTCACGATTGGCATAAGGAAAACATGAGAAAAATCACAAGCACAATTAAAAATAAAAAAACCTGAAGTTCAAAGTCCAATCGCACAGGTTTGCATCAAAGTCGAATAATTTAACGCAATCTATATATTTTTTCTTCTTTTTTTTTCGTGCGATACACATTATGCTACATAATACATATTAAATGTGATTGTGTGAGTATGTCGTGACTAAACTGTACTCTGGACTCAAGTGATGATATTCAATGCGAAAAAAAAATTGTACACAGATTTTCATATCAATCGAGCAATTTTTTATATTTACCTGTATGATTTGATCTCAAAAATGATGTTTGCGTTTTTGTAAGTAGATTTGCTGCCCGAAATAGTCGTACACTTGCCATTTTCTTTTTCAATCGTTCAATATGAAATGTGGATCACTTTCGAAATTCTTATTTAGGTTATGATTGTTGTATTTCGACTAAAATTCAAGCAAAATTTACTAAATAATGATATGGAAAATAAGGAAAAATACGGAATTCTTGACTTGAGCAAATGACTTACGGGAATTTTGCCGAATTTATAATTAAATGAACAAACTTAAAAAAGATAATTGGTAGCCGCTATGCGATATTGCGATGGTAAACACTAAAACGATGGACGACGAATAAATGAGAAGACACACATTCGTTTAAGCACACATAGACTACCGTGTATATATTACACTGACAGCAGAGAAATTTTTGACAAATATGCCATACGCACACTACGAATCAATCGAAACATGTCAGTTTTCAATGCAATGGTATGTAAGTATGTGTGTCGGCTTCAATTCAATGCACTGAACATAAAATGACAGCCAAATACGAGAAACACAAGCAATGGTTTGAATGTGAAATATAGAGAGGGGAATCATCCTTTACAACACACATTAAATGTAGATTCTTTTCATTTAGGCAATATTTTTTTATTTTTGCCTATTCACAGATTAATCATCATCGTCGTTTAATAATTTTTGTTATACACGAACAAAAATCTAACAACAAATTTCAATCAAAAGCCGGTCCAAAATGAATTACCATCGCGAATGGTTTGGATCTCTGATAAACGCAATTCTATATCCTTACTCTTGAAATGTTAACTTTTTTAAATTTTAAGTAAAAAAAACTGTTATTAGACATTGATCAATATGAAGAGGTTTTTGATGAAAGAACCATCGAGTTCTCTATAGCATTTGTCCACTTTGTTTTGCTTTTTTCTGGTTGTTATATGCAATGAAGTAAGTGGGGGTGTTATCAATGGCACGCATATGCGCAGCACAAGCAAGAGGGAAAACTTGATAAAAAACATAAAGACAAGCATATATCAAAAAACGAACGGATTATAGATTGATGGAAATTTTTCCATTCGCTTCATTTTCTCCGATTCAGTTTTCTTAGAACGTTGTGTTCGTGCATTGGTCATCAACACGGACTATTAAGCAATTGGCATTTGATTTGAATAATATTCAGGAAACAAGAAGTGTTCAATTTTCCATTTCTGCATTCGATACTTTTCGTTTATCCGAGTAAAATTATAGTGTAATGAAAGTTGTATCACAAAGATTTTATACTTGGTGAACTGAATTTGTTCTTGATTGTAATGGTTGCCTTTGGAAATAATATATGAATCAAAAGCTTTTTTGATAATTGCCGAAAAGTATTGATATTATAATCAAGCATAATTTACTAGGCGTCAGAGAAAAATCAATTATACAATATAAGCATAGCGTTATACCTGATTGGGACCAAGCCAATAGTAATTCAATGTAAGTAAATATATGTACAAATTTTTTAGATAGTTAATTCATACAATGGGAAATGGAACACAACAAAATCGTATACAAGTAAACAAGGTTAAATGCTGTCACTCAAATAGAATATGTGCGGAAAAAATCGATATGTGCCGTTCTTAAGAATTGAAATATCGATTTTTTGTCAGTGAAAAACAAGTATGCTACTATTCTCCGCTTTGGTTTACGGTCTTGAAATTAATTTGTCAATAATTATTCATGAAATGCCATATCATATGAGCAATTAAAAATGAATCAATAAATGCATGCAAATAAAATTTCATTCGTTCTAATTTTGAAGCTCTAAATGAATATAAAATATTCAAATCATAATTTTTTTGCAATTAAAATCTGAATTTCTAATGCATCAATTTGAATATGAAATATGAACATTCAAGCAGATTTGAAAATTATAACATTTTTTTTTTCAATTATGATAGTGTCTATATAAAGTGTTTAAAAATAAATAAAGAATCAAGCTTCTTTTTAGCCAAGGTTCTTTCTTCCTATCGAAAATCACAGCACTTTTCTTAAAATGTTTTATATTTATAACAATATATTAATGCTTTGTAGAGTATATTCGACAAATGAGAGTACATTCAGCATTTAAAATTGTAATGTAAAAGATATAGATTAGAGTTTGGAATTTTCTTTTAAAAATTCATTGATTTTTTTGTCAGAGAATAGAGGCAGCAACGAATTCAAAAAATGTTAGAAATGATGGAGCGATAAAATATTTAATGATTGGGTATAAATTATGGGCAAGACGCCGATTTAATTGAATCTTTGGAAAAAAAATCTTCAGAATGAAAAAAATTCAAAAATAAAAAACGAGAAATCCCTTCGTGTACAATCATCGATGTAAAATATAATTTGTCCATTTGTTCAATATTCCCATGAAATTCATAAAAAGAGTAACAAATCAATACGAAATAAACCGTCACATTACACGAAACTTTTGAATAAATTAAATGTTTGGATTCGATTGTTTCAGATGGTCGAAGCAACAGCACAGTTGAATTATACATTAAATTCAAAGGTGACGGCGGTAAATCAGACAGCAATCATAACCAGTGGCACGGCAGGCACCATCAAGACATCAACAGCAACTGTTAATGTGCCGAATATTAACGTTGACTCGCCAAATGATTTTAATCTGATTGCGGCAAATTGCAATACCAATGTTTGTTTCTTTTGTCAAAAAACCTTTACAAATGTATATAATTGTCGTAGGTGAGTTTTGTACCTTTTAGTAGTTTTGCACAAATTAGTTATGTAAAAATAAATATTATTTTATGAAATGTCCCGTAGGCACATCCGTACTCATTCTGGGGAAAAACCGTTCCAGTGTAATGTGTGTGGCAAAAAGTTTTCACGCCAATCCACATTAAATGCTCATGAAAAGGTAAGTATTTGCACAAATGTATACATTAGGGTGTTTCCCATATCTGTAAATAGAAAAATGGTATTTATTAATTTAAAGTAGGCAAAATTCTATGTTATTTAATGGCATTTATACAACGAAGCGATTGATGTTAGCACTTCCCGAAGCAAAAAACTGTTTTCAAAATCTAATGATACTTACAATGGAAAAACGCTCTGTTTGTACTCCCGCACAGCCATCTCAACCAAATGGGAAATGACTTTTTTTGTGCATAACTAACCCACATATTCGGGATAGCAGTTACGTAACAAATGTTACTTATGATTTATTTTATTTTATTGTATGGTATTGTGATGATTAGTTGGCTGCTATTCGAACTCGGGCTCGGATATGTCCACGTCGTTATCGTCGTCGAAGACGGCGGCATCGGCGTTGATTTGATTCCAATATCGGTTGATTGCAGCAGGTA